AATAGGACTTCATTAACAAAATGTCACTTGCCTTTATTATTGCAAAGGTAACCTTTCAGAAATGAACTGACCATGAGGTAATGCAGTCGTTTCATCTGGAATCTGCAGATAATCTGAAATAATAATGCTAAGAGTACGAAATGCTTCTATTAATCTCTATGGGATATTAGCTGTAAATTGCCAATGATGGCAATTTGTGTATAAGCATTGTTAATAATTTAGTATTAATTAAAGTTCACAAAAGAGAAAGTCAGATGTACTATTAAAACATAATCTAATGAATGACAATTATCTACTATAATTAATATAACAGCTTTTACTCTAGCAGGCATTCAGTAATATGTTACACTTAAAACTATACAATGTAATAATAATATATGAATCTTACAATTATGAACCACCTTGGAGGATTTATGGTGATTCTAGCCTCCCACTTCAGGGACTACTGGTCTTATAAAGACTTGTCCTTTAGGTTTATACAGCTGTGGTACTTGGGAGTTAAAAAGACTCATTAGCGGTCCCTTCTCATCTCTGATGCTGTTCTATAAATTAGCCACTGGAAATTTCTTTCGGTACCTTCAGAACTCTTTCATTATGTAGCACAAAAGGTCATTTCATATAAAATCAAGTGCTCCAAGACCTGCTAACATAATTCATTAACGTATTTTCCCAATGTCTGTAGGAACATTGGATGTCATTTGGTTTCAAGAGCCACCTTGAAAGTGATGAGTTGCTGCTCACCAGATGTACTTCTTTGTTATTATTTACCTAGTGACCGAATTTTTACGGTCCCTTCACAGACGTCCTCACAAAGTAAAAATCCATCCGTAAGTAAAAAAATCCCGAATCCTCTCTGTTTGTGCTTTGACCTATGATAATAGTTGCAGAGTGGTAGCTTTGAAAGTCAGCATCTCAGTACCAGTTGTACAAAAGCAGCACCACCATCTATATCCTCTTGTCGTGACTCCGTATGGAATTGGGATCAGACTATACTGCAAAAAAAGAGATCTTCTTGATTCTCTAATTCCTTCAGGAACCTGCAGTCATATTTTCCAATAAATATGCACGGTAAAGACAAATACTTTCTGTTAACAAACAACAAATCCAAACCACAAAATATGCTTCAGTGCTAGCTGTAGCATTCCAAAATTTAATCTGCTCAAGTAAAGCAAGGACCTTTACAGTCTTTTGTGAAAACCTCTTCTCCAAAGGTTTTATAAACACACTCTCATGGTCTGTTTGTGTGTACTATGGGATAGAGCCTACAAAACCAGTTAATGTAAAAACTTGTGAAGAAGTGGTGTTAAGCTTGAAGTACCTTGTGTGACCCATCAGAAAATACATTTAAAAGAAATAGCTTCTGATTAAAGATGAGAGGAGAGAATACAAACCACTTTTTTTTTAATCAACCTGAACATGAATTTACTTTCCATTTCTTACAGGCTTTCTACTTGTTCTGAAACTCATCTCCATGCTTTTAGCTCTCTGAGTAGTTTGTGCTGCTGTGTTCCGGGTTACAGGTATGTGCCCCTGGGTGAGAGCAGCAGCCCCTTCTGGGAAGGGCTTGGGAATATACCACCTGAAGGAAGCACGAACATTTGTGAAATTTTGAAGGCTGCAGAATGAAAGATGAGGTGCTAAATCTGAGACTGTGGCTGCTAAAATGGGCTGTGGTGCACCTGAGAGCAAGGACTAGTGCATTTGCTAATGGGCTGCCGCAGAACCTCTGGGCTTTTTATTTCTAATAATAGAAAAGAAACCCAGGTGTGTCTCAGCATGTGGATGTCATTTTGTTTATTTTGGGAAACAAAGCACCATTTTTTTTTTTTAAGTGTTGTTATACTGTGTATTTACCTGGTTTGCCTATTCCAGATCCCTTCAGCTGATAATGCTGCATCCTCAGCTCCCACAGCCTCTGTGATCGCATTATTTCTAAGGAGCACAGCTGGGTGCTGGACTGTAATTTCTCATGCAGCTGGGGAGCAGCTTCATCACTTCATTTGAAGGTTAGGACCAAGACCTTAGAAGTGCATGGGGAGCTAATAGTCAGACTGATGTTCCCATTGTGTTCACAGAGGCTTAAACCAGTCAGAAAAGGGTCATGCACATCCATGTTATTTTCACCTTTTGCCTCAGATGCCGTGGTTTGCAGTGATCTCACTCAGAAATGACAAAGGAACGGCTCCGTGCTGTGAGGTCTTTGTGCCACAGAGTGCTGTAATGAGTTTTGTAATGAAATGGAGACAAGGAAGACTTTTTAGTGATTACTGAGACTAATCTCAGAGATGTACTGAGTGAAGGGTAAATCTTTCCACCACTCTCCATCACTTAAATATCTCAGGATACTTTAGGTATCCTCATTCTTAGGTAAGAAGTCATCATTAGGACTAAAAGTGTCCTAAACACATCTTGATAGATTTACCTTTCACTGTATATCGGAAACTTTTGTAATTAGTCAACTGCTAGCAATGATCAATGACTAGAAATATGGCTGATGGGCAATATATGTTTCAAAATCAGTACTCGGAAAGACCAGAAGTGTTTTGCTGTGGAACTGTCTCCTTGCAAAATGAGAAACAAGTATTTCCCTTGTGTGTTCACTGAAGAGCTCCAAATACAAAGCTGGAATGCAAATGTAGATGAGAGACAATGAAAAACAGGAGAGTATTTACCTTGGAGTGTAGTCCTAAACTGAGATTTAATGGTTGTTTCCATTTCTGTCTTTTATGATATCTACAGTAAATTTATATTTTTATAGATACATATGTGTGTATAAGTGTGTATACATATAAGAGCTCCAGAAAGAAATGTTTTATTTCGGTTTTCTTGGAAGCATCAGTTTTTCTGTGTTGAATCTTAACACGGGTCATATATATCCAGGTATTAAAGTAACTGTGGTGCAAAAAAAAAATAAAATAAAAATCCAAAGACAACTTCTGTACCTCATTTACAGCTCTTTTCAAAATGTGTGGTTATGAATAAACCATTTACTTTCGTAAGCATACTCTCTGCAGGATTTCAGATACAAAAGAATTAAAAGGTCAGAGAATTACGATTCGTTTACTGCATCCCTGTATGACAGCAAAGCTCCTTACTATTTGCTGTGTTCTGTCCTTCTTAATTAAAGCATCAAATCAGATATACAGTCTGGAGCAGCTCAATTATAAAAGGTTACCTCAATCAGTTCATTCCTGATTGGTTTATTAATTACTGGCCTTGACTCTTGATTCAAATCAGCACTCTTTCCTCAGGTTAAAAGTGCATGTTATGTTAAAAATAACATACCATATTTTTAAACAAAAGTATAGTGTAAACGTTTAAAAGGAAAGTTTGTACTGAACTTGGCTTTGATGGAACAACAATCTCTTGTATTGTGAAGTCTGACTTTTCACAGGTGATCACTAGCAAATTTCTGAATAGTTTTGTTACTGAATCCCCTTCCAGCCACAAAAGGATAGAAAAAAATGCTGTGAACTGAAATTCTTCAGAAATTTTGTAAGGATATTTCAAATATATAGCTTTAATCCATGGTTTTCCGAGTATTTTTAAATGGGACTTCTGTGCCATTTTCTCCTGAAAACTTTTTGCCTAAAAACATGCTGTATTCATAGAATCATAGGATTGTTTTGGTTTTAAGAGACCTTTAAGATAATCAAGTCCAACCTTTAACCCAGCACTGCCAAGTTACCACTAAACCATGTCCCTTAGCACCATGTCTACACGTCTTTTAAATACCTCCAGGGACGGTGAATCATTGCATCAGCTGATGTGCTCCAGAGAGGTGGAAAAACTTTTGATAGTAAATCTAAACCAGATCTCCTGCATGAACGGCCATGTCATGCCTGGAGACACTATGGATGCAGGGTAAGAAGGCAGGGGCTTACCCTTCGTTCCTTATTTTAAGTATGTATTTCAGCAATTTGGATATTGCTTATACCTGTCAGTCATCAAGAGCACTCTCCCAATAGGTGGCATGTAGAATCATAGAATAATTTAGGTTGGAGTGTGAGCCAATGCTGGCAGGATGCAGGAACAACCACAAAATCACAGATGAAAGGCAAAGAACAAATTTAATCTCGATACCTCATGGATCAGGGAATCTCCGGGCAGCACCCGGGGCAGAGGCACCACAGAGCAAGAGAGTCCTTATGAGCAAGAGAGCGAGAGGTCCTAGTCTGTATTTCAAGGATTCAGGCAGGTGTAGTTTTTTGTGGTGCTTTGATCTTCTTCAACAGCAGGGCAGGAATCTTGGGCACATTCGACAAGGTGCCCCTGAGTCCATAACAGGCCAATGTTATTTAAGCGCAGGTGTTCCTACTTATCGAGCCCATAAGACTAAATGACAATTAGTGTGATCCATGTGTTTTCCAGCACCCCAGGTGCAAGTCATTTGGGCGTGTTTACAGCCCTCCTCCCCCATCTGCCGTTACTTTCCCACAACCAGATTCACCTGACCCTAAAAGGGAAAACAAACACAAAACCAACACAAAACACACACACACAAAAACTCCACCAAAACTACTTCAAGTTTAGGCATATATTTATCTTTTTTAAGATTTGCCCTGAACTGATTCCAGCCTACGCTCGGGATCTCATGCTGTCGTGACAGGGCTTCAGTAAGAAACAGGCGGCCCCTTCCTCTCAGGCTGTCGTGACAGGGCTTCAGTCGGAAGCAGGGGACCCCTTCCTCTCACGTTGTCGCGATAGGACTTCAGCTAGAAATAGGGGACCCCCTCCTCTCACATTGTCGCGATAGGATTTCAGTCAGAAGCAGGGGACCCCCTTCCTCAGCCAGACACGAGCGGCCCCTGAGGGCCGGCCCCTGAAGCCCCCGCCGCGCAGCCGCCCACCCCCGCGGAGGGTCCCCGCCCCTGGGGGGCGCCCTGCCCTGCCGGCGGGGCCGCCCACCGCCGCGCCTCGGCAGGGAGGGGACGGCGGCGGGGCCGGTGCTGGGCCAGCCCCCCTACTCAGAGTGTGACGGCGCTGCGGGGGTCGGGACGGGCTCGGCGGAGGGAAGGGAGGGGATGTGAGAGGACCTAGCCCGTCCGGGCTCGGTTCTGCTTCTGTGCGGCTCTCCCCGCGGGGCTTCCGATCGCCCGCCGGGACCCCCCGCATCCCTCCCCAGCGGGGGCGGGGGGCTCTCCCTCGCCATGGCCTTCACCTTCGCCGCCTTTTGTTACATGCTGTCACTGGTCCTCTGCGCCGCCCTCATCTTCTTCGCCATCTGGCATGTGAGTACCCCGATCCCCTCACGCGGCCCCTCCGCGGCTCGCGGCGACCGTTAAAAACCGTTGGGCACCGTTGGGGGGGTGGATCGTGCCGTGAGGGGAGAGGGGCGGCAGGACGGGCTGGGGCTGGGGCGCTGAGGCGAAGACCCCGCTGGCGGTGTCCCGGGACAGGACAGACAGACTGACGGTGCCGTGAAACCTCTACCTGGGTGATTTTTATTGATTAATTAAAGCTTGCAGCCTGGCTGCTGCCCCGGCCGCGCGCCTGTGGGGACCTCCCAGGGCTGCCGGCTTCGGCTGAGGTAAAAGGTGCTCATCGGTGAGGTAAAAATCTTTGAGGCAAGGACGTGAGATCTTCGAGGTAGGGACAAACTGCTTTTTCTTGCCCGAGAATAGAGGGTTGTGAGGGAAAAGCCGTCCCCATACTTGATAAAGCCCTTAGGGTGTTTCTCCTTCCATAATTACTAAGTTCATAACTTTGTTCAGCTGGGTTAGGATGTGAAACGTTCCTCAGTCTTCTGATGCATGGACTGGATGTTTTGAGTCCAGCTTCGTTAATTTCCCTCAGAAGTAGTGGGTTTTGTACCTTTGCATACGTGAGGTGACCGTGGTAGTGTGTGATTTAGAAGGTGTTTACCTCTGTGGTGGTGAAATTATTCTCATGCATAATTTGCAGTCCTTTTTAACTGGTTACATATGTTGGAGTTATTTACACTCTGTGTGTGCTACAGAAATAACTTCATGCCGTAAATGTTCAGGATGGAACAGGATAAGGTGAAAAAGAGAGCAAATCTCATGAGTGCCACTATAGATACCTGATGGACTAAGATTTTTTTAAAAAAACCAAACAGCTCCTTTGACTGACAAGCAGGGGAGGTATAGAATCTATTCTTACTGAAATGAGAGTAAAGATGCTAGCCTAGTTTTATGTAGGCATATTGAAGTATGCAACAGATCACTCTGTTGTGAGAATTCTTTGAAATCTGGTTGTTCTGAACTGTTAATGGCGCGGTTGTAAGTTTTTTCTTATGAATAAAACCACAAAAGTGTGATGGTTACCACTGTCGAATCCTGTACTGATGTCAAGTAATGCAAGGCTGAGAAGGGTCTCTAGCAGTCAGCTGCTGCACTCCTGTTCTCTGAAAAAAGGACTAGAAAAATTCAGATGATGACTTATGTTTTCTGCCCTCCTTTCCCCCAAACCTTTAGGTCCCTAAAAGTGTAAATTCTACGGTTTCTTCAAAGGATTAAAAGTGTATTCTACTCTGAATCTGTTGCTACAGTTTAAATGGGTACTTCCTTCATTGCTATCACAATTTTAATAATTTTTAAATATATTTGATGTCTGTTACTATGTTTTACCAGTCATCTTTTTCCTGGATTGAAATTGTTGTCTGAAGACATACAGTGCTTCTAGCAAATGGGGAAAATTATTCTTCAATAAATCAGAGTAGTTATTGCAAATTTACTCTTAGTGAAACATTTTTCAGCTTTCAGTCTGTACATTTATGGAGAGCAATCCATTAGTTCCAGAGCTCCGTAAGAGGCAACTAAGAAAGGAAGCCTTTTGTCAATACTCTTATATTTATGGTGCATTATTTCTCATGTCTGCTGAAAAATTGTTGAGGGATTGAAATTGAAAATGGCTGGAAATGCTTGTCTATTGTAATAGAGCAAGAATTGGAACCCTCTTTTCTTATAAATGGATAATAATACTATTAAAAAACACGTTTTGCAAAGGTCATAGAATAACAGATTTGACACCCTGCCGGAATAAACTTTTGAGCGTATACAAAACACAAGGACTTTGGTTATCCTTTCTATAAGAACTATTATAATCTGGTTTCTTATTTTTTCTAAAATGTAGTATAATGTGTAGCTTATGTATTGAGCCACAAGAGTTTCTTTTACCTTAATTATCTCATTGTGAAAATTTTCCCAAGAAACAAAACTCCTACTCCTTCGCTGTGACCTGATTTTGGTCACTGTAATATAGTTGTAAGAGTTAGTAGATATATTTTAAGTTCTTATAAGGGTAGTGAAGGTTTTTAGTAATCATATTTTCCTGTTAAAACACTTTTAAAGTGTTTTGTTGTTTGCTTGTTTGTTCTTGTTTTTTTAAAAAAACACATTGGGTTACTAAGTTCTTGATTAATCTGAGCAACCATCGCTTTCAAAGATTTCTGAGGTTCTAAGACTGAACAAGAACTTCAATTTTGTAAATTATTTTAAAGAACAAGAAAGAATGGTAGCATTTGGACTTCATATTGTTCTAACCTGAAGCTGGCTGAGGTTTGGGCAGTTATCTGGAATGATTTAACAGTGGATCAAATAAAATCTCATTTCCTTCCTGCTGGGAAGTCAGATGAATTATAATTTTCATTAATATTGATGTAATAGGTTCAAGAAAAACTGCAAAACCAAAACAAAAGAAGAGGGTAAAATAAGGATTTTTATTTTTGGAAACTACTTTTCTGATGCCTTTCCTCTAAGAAGTTAAATGCTCTCTAGACATTCTTGTGCTCTCTGCTATTTGGGGGCAGACAGAATGAAGCTAGTCAGAATATCTTGAAAGAATTGTAAATAACATACAGTAACTTCTTCAGACATCTGGAACATGTAATTATTTTTTTTCTACCTCCATGTAATCTCTCATATAGGTTGCCAGTCGTGTCTGTCATGGAAAACAAAAACAAAAAACAAATTAGATACTATCGGTAACATTCTGGGCTGCATAGGGAAGAATGTGGCCAGCAGGTCAAGGGACGTCATTCTGCCTCTCTACTCTGCACTGGTGAGGCCACAACTGGAATACTGCGTCCAGTTCTGGGCTCCCCAGTTCAAGAGGGACACGGAACTACTGGAAAGAGTCCAGCGTAGGGCTACAAAGATGATTCAAGGACTGGAGCATCTCCCTTATGAGGAGAGGCTGAAAGAGCTGGGACTCTTTAGTCTGGAGAAGAGAAGGCTGAGGGGAGACCTTATTGATGCCTACAAGTATCTCAAGGGCGGGCTGAGGGAGGAGGGAACCAGACTCTTTTCAGTAGTTGCCAGTGACAGGACAAGGGGCAATGGGCACAAGTTGGAACATAAAGGGTTTCACTTGAATATGAGGAAGAACTTTTTCACGGTGGGGGTGATGGAGCCCTGAAACAGGCTGCCCAGGGAGGTTGTGGAGTCCCCTTCTTTGGAGATTTTCAAGACCCGCCTGGATTCAGTCCTGAGTAAAATGCTCTGACAAGCTCTGGGTGGTCCTGCTTTAGCAGGGGAGTTGGACTAGATGATCTCTATGGTCCCTTCCAACTCTAAAAATTCAGTGAAATTCAGTGAAATTTGTTTAAACTATGCACAAGACTTAGAGAATAACAGAATGGTTTGGGTTGGAAGGGACCTTAAAGATCATGAAGTTTCAACCCCCTTGCTATGGGCAGGGACACCTCCCACCAGACCAGGTTGCTCCAAGCCCCATCCAGCCTGGCCTTGAACACCTCCAAGGATGGGGTATCCACAGCTTCTCTGGGCAACCTGTTCCAGTGTCTTACCACCCTCACAGGAAAGAATTTCTTCCCGAGATCTGATCTGTATCTCCCTCTTTCCATTTAAAACCATTACCCTCGTCTTTTCACTCCACTTCCTGGTCAAGAGTCCCTCCCCATCTCTCCTGTAGCCCCTTTAGGGACTGGAAGGGGCTCTAAGGTCTCCCTGAAGCCTTCTCTTCTCCAGGCTGAGCAACCCCAACTATCTCGGGATGTCCTCAGAGCAGAGGGCCTCCAGCCCTTTGTTCATCTTCATGGCCTCCTCTGGACCCATTCCAACAGGGTCCTTCCAAGTCCTTCCTGTGCTGAGGACTCCAGAGCTGGACACAGTACTCCGGGTGGGGTCTCACCAGAGCGGAGCAGAAGAGCAGAATCACCTCCCTCACCCTGCTGGCCACACTGCTTTTTATGCAGCCCAGGATGCGGTTGGCTTTCTGGTCTTATCTTAATGTATTATTTTGGAATTTCACTCATACATATTAAATGAAAGAAAAGGGCTGAAAAATCAAAATCTCCATGTACTACCTAGTACCAATACTAGTTTCTGGGGTATGGGAATTGTTTAAGCATTTAGGTTGTTCAATGACCACATTACCTCTCTCTGTAATGACACAATATTAGAAACATAATGTAGAAGTTGGTGATTTTGTGCCACTGTTGTAGAAAACTGCTAAATAATTTAGTTGAGGATGATGACCTTTCTACTTGATTTCTTATAAGCAGCCTCTGGAATTTAATAAAACCTTACATTTCCATTATAGAATTATACAGGCTGCTTCAAACAACTTTCGGTGTTCAGAGTAAACTTTATGTAACATTATGACTTTCAAAACAACTACTACTTTATGTAGCACTATGACTTTCAAATTTCAGGAAAACTTTTCCACCTGAGGCACATCTTACAGAATCTATTACAGGTACAATGCACATACATTATTTTCAGCTAGTATAAAATGGCACAAGATAAAATGATTTGCTGGGATCTCATAAGGGATTGCCCATTTTAATCTCAACTTTCCAGGCACTGCTATATATCAATAATTAGTGTACAGTTTACCATAGAAGGCAAAATTTTGGATAGAAGCACATCATTTTAGTTCTTTGCAGTTTAAAGCAACCCAAACAAAAAAGTTAGCTTTTACAGAGTAAATGCCTATAGTTTACAGCCAACTACATGTATGTTAGAATAATAATAGCATAGTCTAAAACCTTTCCCTGAGTTTGAATACTCTTAAGTATGGAACTTGATAAAGTTGGTTATGTTTGAAGCTATAGTAGCCAAATGTATAACAGCCAAATGAGACTGTCTTCCAGTGGAGTTAGTGTCAAAATGTTGAGTGAATGTCCAGTGGGACAAAAAAGTAGTGCAGAGATACCTCAGTCCAGTTGATTTGAGTATGTGCTGCTTGTGAGTCTTGTTGCAGCAATGCAGTTACACTGGTGCTTTACCAGCTGAGGTGTCATTTA